GCTATACAACCATTAGTGTCTATCTCCTGGGGTAAATTGGGAGAAGAATTGTGGTGGTTAAGTCCTGATCAGAAGGAAGGCAACGGAAATCTCCACATGGGGTTTGCGCTCTCGGAGTAATATGAATTTAACATCCGGAATTCTTCATCATACGAACCGTCGAGGAAAAGTAGAGATGGGATAGGGAGCTGAGGAGTTGACTTGCCTATATGGTATTATGGTTCATCACGGGGCCATACCCCAGATATTCCAGAATGATAAGACGACCAGTCATGTCCATTGCTGCTTATTGGTAGTTGTTGGTTGGAGGAAGAGAAAGGAAGAATTTTCATGTCTACCAAAGTTGCGCCACAGGTCTCCACTAAAGACGCCACACTCTGCTCTGAGCCACATATAAACCCCCTTCCCCTCTTCTAAATCCTCTCGTGCCTCCATCCTCCTACCACGACGCATCCGCATATCAGTCTCCATCGCTATGTCTGTCACTCCTGCCTCCATGAAGCCTTGTGGCCGACAGTTTCCATGACCGCTATCCTATTTGCCTCTACTAACTGTCTTAGTGTCCACATCCTAGTGTCCTTGCATCTGTCCTCCCAATCCCCGTTTTCCATTCGTTCAGCGACTCGAATGTGGACATAAAGTCGGAGATCTTCAATACCCGTAAGTAGATGCGTTGCTGAGATGTTCAGGAGTGGTCATCCGATTGGCTCAAATTCATGGCGATGTAAAAGTAGTTGGTCCCATCTCGGAATCGGGGCTTTGAGATTCGCTGATCACGGACGTTATCACACTTTGTTTCAGGAGTAGAGTCATGGACTTGCTGCCTGAAGGAAGACATGGTTGGACCGTTGGAGAGTCCATCGTGTTTATGCGGCCCCTGACAGGGGTCCAGATCAGCCCCCTGCTTCCAGGTTTGCTGTTACAAGACATCATTTCCGTATAAGACTTTCTAGCGTTAACACTTTAGGCTAAGACGAATTTGCACTTTGCGGAGGATTCTGGATGATATTGAGTCGCGAATTCTAGACATTGCTCCTAGTCTCAACCGTGGAAAAAATGGGGTCGCTGATTTGGTTTTCCTTCCTGCACTTCCCTCCACACCCAGCCAGGTGGCCAAAAAGGCAACCATAGTCCCCGGAATGACCATTGCAGTCATGGACATACCAAACAGGATTAGCGAAGTATACAAAAGAAAGGCCGTCGATATTACAGTCGCAAAGCGCTTGATCACGGCGTCGGCATCTCCAACAATCAGTATGTTGCTCGCTTCCGATGTCGAGTATAGGCTTACATTGGTACACGACAGTTATCGCGAGACCGATGAAGACGTTACTGGTCATGACCATGATTGCTCCCCAGTCATTGTAGCCGGTGAAGAATCCGGGTTCGCTGGGCTTTATGAAGCGGGCTATGATGTGAATGAGGATATTGCAGCAGAATCCTGCTGCGAACAAAATCATGTTATCCGCGTGTAAGGAGGCGCCTTCGCTCTTGCATAGCTTCTGGTGGTAGACGCCCGCAACGGCTGAAAGAAATGTTTGAAACGTGAGAACAAGGTAAGTGGTAAATGGATACCCTGATCCAGTGGTGGGACTATATCGGGTGACAACCAGGCCACAAGTCTGATTCGACACGAGTAAGTACGGCTTGCGGTCTTGTTCAATTGTCCTCGACTGACCTGGAGCATAAGCGCGATCCATTGAAGATTTGAGATTTTTGACCCGAGGGCAAACCAGAGCACCAGGCCCGTCGCCAGCGTAATTCCAGATCTGACTAGCTGAATCGTGCCTGGGTCTGCAAGTTCGTACAAAACAAAAACAGTATTGTTGATAAGCGCATAGAGAAGAGCCAATTTGGGGAAGCCGAACTTGGTATCCATTGCAACCTCAGTCAAGCAATAGACAATGAAGTCGCCGAATTTCATCTTCGTTTGCGACATTATGCTCGAGGTATTCGAGTCAGACTGCTCCAGATCCTTCATCGGTGGCCTCTCGCTGAGCAATGATCTCTCTTTTGCGAAAGATCGGGAGGGGCCGCGTTCTGATTCGGAACATCTTTGTAAGGATTCAAAGTGCCGACTTGAGCATTCTTGATAAAAGAAGCATGTGGATAGACCCAATTTCAGGAATTCTGAGATTGCAATCGACGCCGAAGGTGAGAAGGCGTAACTATTGCATATCAGTTTCTTGGCTTGCACGAAGGGTAAGGATTGACCCTACCCTCCGTCATGCTGAGCAAATCTGTACAGAACTCCAGTCGCAGCTTGGATGACAGTCAGCGTAAGTGCTGCGATGTAGGTAGGATTTAGAAAATGAAATAGAGAGCCCGTTCGAACATTGTGAAGGGGTGGAAACATAGCGAAGGAAATGGCAATGTTGAACAACAAAGCACGAGAGAATGTGGATCGATGGAGGCAGCGAGATTGAAGATAATGGTTGAATACATAATTAGCGAAGGCTACACGGTCACGGTGATTCTTCTTGTGACCAAGCCACAGCTGATGTTTGGAGATGGATGTAACAAGCCACGCGATCTAGCCTTTGCCCCTGTGTAGATAGGCGCAAGGCTGCCACAAGCCTCATCGCGTACTAGCGTTACAGGGCCCTTGCCTCTCAATTCTTAGCTCGATCATTTGAACGCAGAGACAACAGTTATCAGCCAATCATAAGGATTCGGTCCTATTTCTGTCCCGCGTTGTCGAGGAAACACACACACACAAACACACACGCACAAGAGCTGAATGAGCCCTCCTTCTTCGGTGGCATCAGTGCATTGTGGATGCCGCTAATGCGACAGGCTATTTCTACTGAAGGCCAGTAAATTTCGCTCCAAACTTCTCTATCGTTCAACCTGAGACGGATGTTTCGTGAAAGAATCGGAAATTTTTGCATTCTCCTGAAGCTATCAAGTTTCCGTAGCTATAGGCTTGCGGTGGATCTGCGACCACGCCTACTGATCTCCAATTCATGTCCAAGATCACTCGATATTGATCAGACGCCGGCTAAACGATAAACATCCCAATCGTCTTCAGAATGGCGCCGGTTGGCTGAATATGCGACGACGCCGTCTAGATCGCAGATTCGCGATTAAAGAAGAACTTAATAGCGAGTTTCGTCTCAGCCAACTAATGCGTAAATAATTTCTCAAGTCCCACCGTTGAGACTGAAATACCTCACAAAGGAGCGACTGAAACAGTATATTCTTTTCCTCTGCTAGCTTGTTCCTTTAAATCGAATACTGGCCGATATTAGCTTTACACTGGGTCAAAGTGTTCCCAAAATTCACCGCTGTCGATGGACTATCTCGCCTGATTCTATCTCGCAGACATCAAACATCCTAGACCGAGCATGACAGGAGCGGGTCTGCTTGGAGCAACATCCATAATGCGAGAATGTGCAAGTTTGAAAGTGGATCAAATACCTAGATCCATTGCAACTTCGCCCTTTGATGATATATCCAGAATGCAAAACACCCTGCTAGAATCCAGATCTTAATCTACCTGACTTTCTTTTGCATTTCGCGCCTTCTCGAAGTCAGCAATCTAAAAGATCCTGTTGCCAATTGCAATTCCTATTAGCAGTCCAAGTTGGCCCATTTCCCCAGCTTTATCAATGTTGATGGCCACACGGATATCTTGCGCCGAGACGAGCAAATGAATGACTTATAAGTTCACCACCCAGCATCGCCCCAATTGTGTAAAGAGCTGTAGTGTATACTGCAACAGCAGCGACTCTTGGAAAGTTGGAATTCCAGCGTTTGATCGATTGAGCTTCAGGACGTATATTTGGTGTCCTTACCGCTACCTTGGAACAGGGTCGATGATCGGTACTAGGTTCCGAAGATCATATGCCAGAGGTCGTGGACCCTGCGAGTACTTCAGCCTGGGCTTAGGACGGTGGCCTAGTTATGGAGTAACATTCTCAGCAACACCACGATCCATCTTCGGATCAATGAGTGGAATTATCTTTGCCACAAACCATCAGGAGCCGGGCAGACTCGATTGATAGTATTGCAGTGCCCGGGCCAAAGTCTTCTTGAATTTCCACAACATCGCCAGCCAATATGATACTGTCCATATGTGTGTTCTCGAGATCTCAGAATGAATGGAAGGTTTTATAGTCGACATAAGATACGATATCGTCTATCTCTAGGTCAACATTGATATATCAGCGCTTTCAACATCAGCAAAAGTCAAGATACGAATCCTTGTAGATCGGCATCCGTACCACAGACATGGTCGAGATCACCGCAATTCCATGTGTCCATCTATTGCCATCAAAGCCTTATGACCCTGCATCTCCTTCCATGACTTCTGTCCGCCTCTTATTCTCTGAGCAGAGTACAAGGCGCTATGCACAGTGTATTCGTTCCCCCAATCTGAGATCGAATCAAGGAGCTGCCAGACCCACCTGCGTTGTCACAACGAGATGCTTTACAAAGCTGATGGCTCGTCGTATACAGCCGGTGGTTCTGTCCCAACCATAACATGCTTGCATTTACAAGACTGGGTAGATGGAGGTAGACGGCGCGGTTAGATATCGTGTGGTCAACAGGTTGCAGATTACGATTGCTGTGGTTCGAAGAACATGACACGTCGCCGGGAGGCCGCCGCACGTGATAGGGGGGCCACAGAATGGATTGCTTTGATAATCAAATTCAATGTCAGATCATCCTGACTGGTACGTATCCTGGCGGGTAGTACAAACCGAGCAGAGGAGGCGGTTACACAACACTAATTGTCCTCAAGCTGCCAAGGCATTGTTTTACTGCGTTATAGTTAATGTGTATTATGTTCGCTTGCGTCGTCTAGATTTATGTTATTCGATCAACTTAGTAAGATACGCATTGTATATAGAGAGCGCCAGTTACATCTTTATGGTCTTACCTCCGTAAGATTGCGCTGTTTTAGCTGTATTGGCGATGCATGTGCAGGACGTCGATTGTTTCGTCTGACCTATCTTGGGATATGATACATCAATCTGGGATTCGCCCCCGCAAGAGGAGCGGTAACTCAGTGGTAGGCAAGTGCAACGATCAACCCCTAATTTAACTACGCCGACTAATATACAGCAGAGTGCGGGATTGCAGTAACAGCAAGTATCCTGAGGTCAGGTGTTCGACCCACCTTCGCTCCTGTGCCATTCGCTTTTGTGTGGTCCCATCGTGTGTCTCTTTTTTGGTGTCTGCATTTGGTGGATCTAAGACTCTAAGTACACGTATGCAGATTTCGTTGCACCGAAGCCCTTTTTTGGCAAAATCTGCAGTTTGAGACCACTACCATTCAAGATCCGAATAGAACAGATTTGACAATTGACGTAGGATTGCTCATGTACTTGGAATGGTGCCTGATTCATCGTTACACACAAAAAGAATGACTGGATTTGGTCTATATGTACAAGCAATCAATGCCCGTCTCTAGTTCTTAGAGCAACTACCACAACTGACAAGTTGGCTCCTTCTTTTTACATCCAAAAGCCTCCCTGAATCCCCTCGAATTACTCGTTGTACCCAATATCCGCACAGCATCTGGACTATGAACATCTGCTTTTATCGTCTCCGCCGCAAGCTTCGGGTTCGGGACCGCACACCACATCCTCGCATAGCTCAAGTAGAACATTTGATCAGCCGTAAAATTCTCTAAGCCCGGTAACTTCTGGTTCGGTCTGGTTTTCTCTCTCTTCTTCCATGCCGCGTACGACGTTTGAATGCCACCTGAATCCGCGACGTTCTCTTGCAGGGTGTTTTCTCCGTCCACGTTCCACACACCTCCAGCTCCATTGTCGAATGTGTAATTTGAGAACTGGTCAATGAAACACTGCGATGTTTTCTTGTAGTGGAGGTCGGTGAAAAAGTCCCACAACTTCGTAGTTTTTCCGTCGACAACGGATTTCTGCGAAACCATATCAACCGAATGAGTCAACTCGTGACCGATGACACTACCTAATGCGCCGTACGACACGTATTCAGGCAGATGGGTACTGAACAGGGGGGGTTGCATTATGCCTGCGGGAACGACGATACGATGGTCGGGGCGGGAATAGAACGCTGCTGCCGCGCTAGTGCGCATGCGACTATTATCGAGGTAGTCACCTCCAATGAGGGTTTTCCAGATGTTTATTTGCAACTGTCTTGCGCCTGAAACCGAGTTGTTGAAGTAGCTTGATGTTACTATTGTATCTTTGTAAAGGGCTTGGACGACCTAGGAACATTAGATACTGTGGTAAAAGTCATACGGAAGGATGACTCACCGCTGCATCGAGCACGTTTGGCGAAGTTGGGTAACCTAAAGAGCTGGCAATAGTAGCGACTGAACAAGTTAGCATAACTTCAGCTTTGAAAAGATGGTGTCTTACGCTTTTGTTTCGCGCCAACCTTCGTTGCAGCGCTCATCCACTCCAAGGCGTCCAGCCTTGAGTTAAGTTCTCGCAGAATACCATCAACCATCTCATCGCCCTGCTTTTTGGCTTCCGGGCTAAAAGCTCTCTCAAGGAAAAAAGACACGAGTGCATATTCAAAATTATCAAAGGTTTCTCCCAAACAGACCCCCCATCGCTCGGTCGAAGAGTAAGCAACATCATCTCCGGTGATATTTCTGAACAAAGTGAGGGGCCGATAGTAGCTCTTGTCGAGCCGCAGCGCCCAAACCTTTATGATGCTGCTTTGAAAATATGCATGCAAAACCTCGCGAGGCGTGGATTTGAGGATTGATGATAGTCGTTTCAGGTAGGAAATCTTGCCGTTGAATTTCCCGATCTTGTAACCAGTAGGCGCTTGAGTATTGAACAACTTTGTCATGGAAATTTGTGGAATGGCTTGGTCAAGCTCAGCGAGTGTGTTCAGTCCGTCTTTATCCTAAATATCAATTAGCTCATGCGCAGTAACCCCGAGTCTCGAGATTCTCTGGGATTGTCATCAACTCGACTCGTTCTGAACGTACGTCTTGAGTTGAAGCGTGAAGTAAATCACTTTCGAGCTTGCTAACTGCCTCGGCCTGCTTGACGTACAAGGATGACGCATTCCCAGAAGCGACATCATTGCGTCCCTCGTCCCAAACAATTCGATACATTTCTACCAGTGTATCTTTATAACTGGCCATGATTGTGGTATCATCGTAGTTACCGGAAAAGACGCCGGTGTCGACACTGTCGATCCATATTGAAGATTCAGCGTCTTTGACATCGGCCTAGACACGGTGAAGATGAGCATGCGTGTTGGCACAAAGGACGCTGGCCGACTTACCATTATGCCGATATTGATAAGTGTTGGCGTCCTTCTTTCTGACAACCAAATGAGCACATCAGTTAGCTCATCATTGCTGGAGCTGGAATTTGATCCGGATGTACTTGATTTGGCAGGATAAAGGGATTCGAATTCAGCAAGCAAGACCCGCAGTGGTGTCACACCGGCCTGCTTGATAGCTGCCTCGTCCATGCAAGCGGCATATGAGGCCTTCAATTTGTTGAAGTTCTCGCGTGCAATCGCTCGGTTCGAGTTCGGGAACACAGTCTCTTCCACGAAGTCGCCTTCCACGATAGTCCGAAGCAGGGCGTCATTGGAGGTTTCCATCGTATCGAACGTGTTGATGTCTAGAGATGACGCCTTCAGTCAATGACCTGCTCCGTGACCTTGCGTGCAATATGACCATCTTCACGACGTACCGAAAGTGTCAGGCTGAATAGGGTGAGCCTGACGGAACCCATCGCAGGCGTAAGCGCTGAAATCCTCGCAGGGATCGATTGATGAGTATTTGGGCGAAATGGCCGCCTTCAAATCCTTCGCATGTGCTATACATTCCGCCGACGTGCAGGTGTCGTTGCTGTCAGCTGATCTCACGACGGCATCATGTCCCGTGGCTGAGTTTCCGTCAGTAGGTATGAATCGACCCTGCCGACGCTGGTGATCGCTTGACCTCGTGAAGGATTGACTTACTTGACAGTGCAAATCCACCAACCGCAAATATCGTCAACCACGCATACCCAACAAGAACCATCGTTAACGATTAGAAGGTCTTCCTGCGCTCAAAGAGACTACCGGAATCCTCTCAAACGAGCACTCCAAACGATTGTGTCAAGCGAATGTGTCAAACGAATGTGTCAAGCGAATGTGTCAAACGAGCGTCTCGAAGGAGCAGGATGCGTTGCTTCTTTGCTTTCTGGCCATCGCCTTATACCCAGAGCCTCCGAGAAGGGCATGATACAGAGCTTATCAGACTCGCGAGCTGTCGTTCATCACGATCCTTACCATGGTCCAAGTATAGACAAATCAATTTCGCCACGGACAAATTCAACGGTCCATCAACAGCACTGCCCAACGATAGGGGCGCGGGAAGCCTAAGCATCATTGAATTGTCATGTCGTTTGCTGTGGTTTGTCCATCAACCCGAGGATCTCTCGAGATTTGGAGTGAGTCGGTCCCCACAATACGAGAGCCAGGGTAATTATATATTAACGGCCAAGCATCGGATACTACTCATGAGTCAGGACCTTTCGACTGGTCTTAACTTTTAAGCCTGCCAAGACTGCTAAGCTATCTTTCAATACGACTTTTAAAATTATATCGAAGGACAATCTCCTTTAAATAGGTGCAGGTAGATCCCATTACAAGAATTACCCTTGGAGGAATCATCCTTACGGGATTGCCCTCGTGATGTTCCTCACTATGCCTGCAAGTCTTGCATGGTTTATCAGTGAGAGTCCGGCGCCCTGCTCTTCGGGAAATTCCAGCCAAAATGAGCGATACCCTTATAGCAGTCTGGCCTATGATTGGCCGATTGCGCCAGAATGTAACCTGATATGCACTGGCATACTCGGTCATGTATTCCGTTACCTGTATTGCGCCATACACTATGCGTCCTCGGAGAATCTCTCTCCGTAACCACATATCGCGCAAGAACGCAGTATCGGCGATGAAGTCTTCGGCGAAACCTACTGGAGCTCAAGCCACCTCACCACCATGATGTCATCTATCTACGGCTACAAACCCGCCGAACGTGGACATACCAGGACATGCACAGTCCAGCCATGGTATAATGTATGCACACATGCGAGAATGCATGTGCGAGCATGGCGCAACCATTAGCCGATCCTCCACACTCTCTCACTCAAGCTCTGCCGACTCCCGAATCCCGAAAGACGTCCAGACCACGGGACATTCCGTCATGGAATAGACTCTGTACTCGGATATCGGCCGCAGATAAGAGGAACGACAATCATCACGCCCGGACGAAACCGGCCGCTCATGAAAGACTATCGTATACGGTAATGATCCCGGTCCGTATTCCTGATAAGAGCCCATTGCTGCTGACTTTTTACCTCCTTGATCGTGCCGAGGTAGGGTAGTCGCTGTCTGCTCACACGACCCGTGGTGCCATAGGAGCGAGCAGAAAGCACGCGATGGAACATTGATCACTCCCTAGCAATAACGATCACCCTCCACAGCAATAACATACCCAGTACAACATCTCATCTCGTACGAAGGATTCAATTGGTCGTGAAGAATGGCTTTACGTGCTTGCTCCCTTGCGATCTCACCACTGCGGATCCACCAAACAATGTTACGTTTGCTTGTTGCACCGATTTCCAAATGATAATGTAACCGTGAGCAAGACGTGGTGGACAGTGGACACTTAACGATCTGTAGTCGGCCAATTCCTCTCAAAGATGAGATACTATAGTACCAAGTATCAAATGTCTACGGCTTTTCGGCGGTCACAATAACACAGGCCGATACCACAATCTCAAGGCGAAAAGATGCTAGCCGCAAGCCACTCAACAAGGGTCTTCTGATGGAATCTACTATGGTCCCAAGGCGAAAAGATGGTAGCCGCAAATCACTCCACGGGGGTCTTTCTAGTGGGATCTACGAGAAGTCCGAGGCCGTGATGACCTTGCTGCCGATTTGCAGCTGACATTGATTTGCGTTGAGGCCATGGTATCTTACAAGCAATTCGAGGCCGTGATGACCTTGCCACTGATTGGCAGCTGACATTAATCCGCGTCGAGCCCGCAGTGTGTCTCTTAACTACAGCCTCAACTCTCAAGACGAACAAAAATCAACCAGAAATAAATTACGAAGGGTCCCCTGAAGAAATCGACAAGCAATTCAAGGCCGTGATGACCATGCTATCGATTAGCAG